TGGTTAAGGCCATGGGGTAGTTCTTTATGAAAGAAATGGCATGCCTGCACAACAAGAGAGTGAGTATTCGAGATGTCATATGGAAATTTCAGTAAGGGGAGTCATAGAGGAATAAATTATGAATTACTACAAAACAAAGATTGAGTTATTTTGGTTTTTTTTATTTATAAAAATGTTATCAATGACTATAATGTAGGGCTTAAATAAAGTATAGACTGGTGAAGTTTAAACAGTTGAGAATCAGTTTTCCAACAACATTGCATTTTCGGAAAGGTACTGCTCCTATCTGTCTATCAATTGTCATGGCAATACGTGTGTTAACAGTGTGAAGTAAACCAACCCGGTCCATGTTTTCCATTTTTTTAGGTCACAGTCCCAGCACGTGTGTCCACCCTGAGTCCCGACAGTCCAGCGGTAAAAAGCGCGTGATCGTTCCCAGCATGCCCCACCGGAGTTCCGGGTCGACCGTCGACAGTCTGATGTTAGATGACGACGAGGCGTCATCTGTGCTGTCGGGGTATCAACCCAGTGTCGACAATATCCCGGAAGTGTCGGACGAAGAAAACGAGCAAGGCGACGAGTAACGTTAATAGGATGATGATTATAGAAACTTTGCAAACAATTAAATATAATTAATTAAGCCAATCATTAAGATTATCAAGATTGAGATTTTCACCGATTCGTGTTTTTCCTCGGAATTCTGGTTAATATAACTTTTGGTATAGAAATCTGAATTTATTACAAGAAAATTGGCCATAAGTCCTCAATATTATAAGCTACCACCTAACGAAACAATTTTAAAAATATATTTCTGTTAAATTTTGTTGTTGTTGTTGACTGGACATAATGAAGCATTCCTGGTGATGAAAAGGCAGCAAAGTCATAGGAGCAGTGTTAATACCGAATCATTCAATCCGCAATTCCAGAGTTATCTTTCTTGTGAGTAGGACCAAAAAGTGATATTCTAGAGACATGTCTGAGTTTTAATGCATCAATATGAATATCTAAGGACATGAAAATATTTAAAATTGGAAAATTCATTTGGAAATAAGCGGAAGGAACTATATTGTATTTCACTTAACTTTGCCTTTTCCATGACGAAATACCCTGTGATTTATCTTAGAAATATTTTATGTTTTATCAGATCGTCATTTTACTTCCTGTAAAAAATAAATATTTTTTCCTATACAAAACTGTGATGAAATTACAGAAACTATATTTAGACAATGAAAATGATTTTATTGCTTTTTATATGATAATTTTAATCGAAGCTAGTCATCTTATGACAATGTAATTGCTCAATCAAAATGAAATGTTTGCTTCTTATATTCATATCTAAAGGACAAATTTTGTAAAGGTTATTTTATGTCTTTTTCTGTATATAAGATTTTTCAACCCTGAGTTGTAAAATTGTGATAAAATGTATAAATGCTGTTTTAACATAAAAATCGACTACTTAATTATGTAAATGATCAACAATGCAATAAACATTGTTTTTCATATTCCTGGATTGTTAAATTTTTATTCTTTCCGGAATTTTCTCATCCTTCCAACAATTGTGGGTACATGTATATCTTGTGTTTAAAAATTTAATTTTATTAGATTTTGAACATTTGTTAAGGAAAAAATTTCCATCTACCTAACCAACTTTTTCATCTTGGGTCGGGAGGGACCAAACAATATTTTTTTTTTCAATCAAAAGTGCATCTTCGCTAGCCAAGGGTTTTCGGTCCGCAACGCTCCCCATAAATGGAACTTCCAATGAAAAGGTTATTAACTCTCCAACCAATGAAGAACATGATAGTCAGGTCAGATTCCTGTTGATTGCTTACAAAAGATGACCACCACATTATTCATTTATATAAGCATGATAAGCTAAAGAAAAGAAGGTTTCCAAACACAAAAAGAGAAAACACTGTAAATTATCACAGAATTAAAGTTAAGATATACTGAGTATATTACACATGTACTTTCAGTTTTTATTCCGAGTCTGAGCTTGAAATATTTGTCATCATGTCATCAAACACATCAGTTAATACTTCATGAACATATTTTGCTAAGTCATATGACCAAACATATTGCAGTACATCTTCAACAGAAAAAAGATTGCTAGCATTTTTTATGATGCATTCTATATTTGCTGTAGAAATTGTTTCCAAGTCTGTTACATATGAAGATGTCGAGTTCTGGTCTAGGGATTCTCTGAGTAATTTCAACTTATGTCTCAAAAGTTGAAATTCATCATCAGTAATGTTTCTAGTCCTACTTGTGCATTGTTCTTCAGTAACTGGATTATCTGCATTAAAAAAGACTGGATGTCTACAAGGACACTCCATTTCGCCACACTTGCATTTAGATTCGCACAAATCACAACAACAATGATCAACAACTGTTTCACATTTTTTTGTTAAATAACAATCTGCAATGATTTTCCTTCGGCAACTGTCATCAGAGATTATGAGTTTCATCATTTCATTGTCTAGTTTCTTCATCTGAGTCTTGTGACTCTTATATAAAATTAGTTCATCAGATTGTTTGCCGTCTCTACCAGCCCGCCCCATCTGCTGAACTAGGGTGTCCATATCTCTTGGAGGGGTAAAGTGTACAATGTTATGTAAATTTTTAAAATTTACACCCATTCCCGCAGAACTTGTACTCACTAGTACACGTATAATGCCATTTTCTGATTCCATATCCTTTCGAATTGTTTTTTTAACATCAGTAGTTTTACTGTGGTACATGTTGATCATATGATTCATATGAACAAATTCACGGACATACTGTACACAAGAGAACATTCCTTTATTGTATTACAGAATATCAAGTTTTTGGGAAGTCTTTACCTTTATCTTTTAAACCACTGAAAATAAATTCTAGATCATCCTCCACTTCCGAATTGTTCTTGACCTTTTTCACTGAAATTTTAATGTTGTGTCTGTCTGGACTGTCAACTATAATACAGTTATTTTTTTTAAAACAGAGATTTTTCATTATTTTAACGGTTAGTAGGACTTGCTGTTGCTGTTAAAGTAAGCACTGAGGCCGCAGGGCAAAGAGATGTTCTCCAATTTGAGATAGATCGGAACACTTCCTTTTTTCTCACCCCTATTGATCATAAGAAAAATTTAGTAAATGACTGGTAAACTAAAATACAAAAACAATTAAAATGCAAAAATCTAATGTCAGATAGGAAAAGTGAACGTTTTATATATGACCACATATCTTTTAAAACACTGAACTCTACTGACTGTGTGCAATGCTATCATCATGATCAATTTGGATGAAACTACTGTTAAAAGTCCTTGAACAATAAAAATAATAGCACTGTTTACAATATAGTGGATCAACTTTATCTCTCACCATTGCAATAGTGTGTGCTTCATCCACTACTAATAGGCCAACTTTTTGGAAAATACTGGGTGACGAAACGTATCTCTCCATTTCGTACTGTCTACAATAATTTCTGGACTCCCGTAAATGAACTGATATTTTCCACCAATAATTTCATTCAATGGCATTTTAAGACTGTCAATGTAAATGGCAGACAAATCTTGTTTAATCTATCAACCTGTTCTTCCATAATGCTCTGGATTGGAGCTATCACTACGTATCACCATTTCTTTGTTCAGAACACCCATACTTTGGTAGATAATAATCTTTCCGCTACCCGTTTTCGTTCCTACGAATACGTCACGTTTGTTCATTAAAGCATCTATTGCTTCTTGTTGAAAAGCATTTAATTACCGTCTTCCTTGGAAGACGGTATAGTATAGTTGAAGTTTTTTACAGTCTTCGGACTATGCACTTCCTCTCTTTTGTGATTGGTAGAAATTGCATGATGAGAAAATTTTCAATTATTTCATTGGTGGAAATGCTGTTCAAGGCAAGGGAGATAACTTTCTGATGATCTATTTTTCATACGACTTAACAATTTTGCAAGATTTCCAATCTTAAAAAAATGACAAAACGAACAACAAAATCAGCAGTAATAATTTCTTAATAACATGATGATTTTTATAGCAATAAATAAAATTGTCTCTTTAATTTCATTATAAATAAAATTTGATAGTTATTGCTTGCAGGCTTTGCAATTTGTTATTATTGTTTTCCCCTTTCTTGTATGAAGAGTGAATGGGAATTAGTCGAGGTTTGCCGAAAGCTCTCGGCCAGTCAGAGTTTACGGAGATGACCGAGCGACAACCGTGGTAGGGCTAATGCCCGTAAAAAGCAAATCTAGAAATACAAATTCAAGAAATTCAAAAGAATTATACGGCCTGTTAAGTATAGATCTGTTTGCTGTTTAAAATTGTTGCTAAAGACGGTAAGCTTTTTTGAAAAGCTCTACTTGTTTTTCTATTCCAAATGTTGTTTCAACATTTTCAACGGAGGTCGCCATATTGTGTATGATTTTCTACCGAAGCATACATAAAAGCTTTCATTTCATTGGCTGTTTGCCTCAACCAGGATTATCGTTCTTTCTGAGAATTTACAGATGGCGCTAGGTGTGATCGGCGTTTTACAAAAAAAAACAACAAGAAAACATTGATGTAACCATTCAAAGTTTTTTTTTCAGTCAAAGGAAGGAAAACACAATTATACTGTAGTTTAACAAAAAGGATTGAAATCGTCAATACAGTAAGTATAGGGTCCAGCTATTGACAACAGTGATTTCTTTAGATGCATTGATACTCTGATAAGAGAGACGACTCTTGATGAATTGTCTGTTATTCCTGAATAAAATTTGCCAAGTCGAAGTGTCTTTTTGTCTAATTTTGCACTGCAAGCTGTATGTATGCTATAATTGTTTAGTATTTTACTTATAAAATACATTGCTTTTGGAAAATCATACAGGTTTAAGCAATATTTTATATGAGTGAGCAGAGGGTTTATGAACCTTAGCTTTCTATCGGTGCCTCTTTTTTAAGTTCTGGTCAGGATTTCCATCAAATAGAACAATAACTTAAAATTTAAATGCAAAAGTAATAAAAAGGACAACATAGTTTAACAGAATAGTAGTTATTATTTTGTGACTTCATACAAAAACATATATCACAGAGCAGTTTAGTAACTACATTTTCATACAGAGAATCGTTACATATGAATTGTACGAGTACAATAAATATTTTCTGGCGTAAATTCACAAAACATATACTACTTTTTTCATAAAGTGTACAAACTATTTGGCAATACGAATGTTGTTTGATATACCATATTTTTTAACTCATGAATTCAACAACATAATTAAAAAGAAAAATTGGTGTCGGATCAACCCTCCAGAATATCAAGCACTTAAAGGATTTTTAAAATATAACAGGGGTCAATACATTTTCAAATTTGATAAAAGGCTGCATAACTTGCTTTCATTTAGGGGTAGATCACTAACATTCATGTATTTAAATAAAGTGTAAAATCTAGAGAAATTCTCATTCGTAAAAACATATACAAGTATGATGAATTATTTGTTTGATAAAACTTAGATTCACTCCACTCAATCATGCACTCAATGTTTTCTTTACAGGCGCTTTTCCGGAAATGACCTTTTGTATGGCTTGCTTGAACTTCACAGAAGAACTTGTTTTTCTCTGTCGTCCTTCGCGGGCCTGTTTAGCTCGCCTGTATTCCCTAAACAAGTCCTGGAACATGACGTCAATGTCGGACACTTGTGTCCAGTCCGCGGCCGAAACTTCGTAAAACTTACAGCCGATCTCATCGGCAAGTTCCGTCCCGTCTGAGGCGGGCACCTGTCGGTCGTGAAGCAGGTCTAGTTTGTTTCCGACAAGGATTCCGGAAATGTTCGTTGATCTTCGGATATTTTCCACTTGTCGTTTTAATTTGATTATTTCTTCGAAACTGTTTCGGTCCGTAATGGAATACACAAAAACAAAACAATCCGCCCACAAAGCATAACCATCTTTCCAGTATTCCTGATCCTGTAAAAAAACAATAACATTCAACGATCAAAACGTAAACTAGGATGGAACTAATTTTATCTAAAGTGGGGTGTTTAAGATTCATTGAAGCACCACTTTTTTTGTCAGACATGGAAACTTGGACAAAGGAATGTGGGCATAAAACAGCGTTACGACACATAAAGATTTAAAATTAATTTTAAAGGTTATGCTAATAGAATCACCGAGCAGTTTTATCTGCAAGATGAGGGCCGACATGAATTACGTATACCTGTCCTGCTGTGTCGAGGATCTCCAGTCTGACGTCATCATCGTCAACTGTCGTCTGCAACTTGTAAATACTTTCTGTAAAATATAAACATGGCGTCAGAGCAGTAAAAAAATAATAAAAGTAAAGGCTTTAGAGAATCAAAATTCCATTCAGAAAAAGGTACATAAAAATTTCCTTGAGATTTTTTTTCAATCTAAAAATTCATCAATATGTAATTCCACACACAATTTCCTTCTAGCGTGTTTCCTTTAGATAAGGCTTTTTTGGATTTTAGATATATGATTGCTTCAAAATGCCCTTGAAGAAAAAATATTTATTTTGATAAGAAGGTGTTTCAAATTCAAGTTTATAAAGCTAATTTTTCCTCCTACAATATGCATTTTTCTAACAATCGATTGATGGCTTAATTAATTCAATCTCTTAGAGAGTCTTCGTGTGTTTGCGAACCCTTAATTAGCAAGATCTCTTTTGAAATCAGAACTGACGTTCAGAAAAAAAAGAACACACGCCAGCAAGTCGAAAAAGAAAGAATATAAATCGTTCACTTCAACAGAAAAAAATCTACACGAGATTCTTTAATCAGACTTCGTTAAATATTATACGGAAAGTATTAGTATTAGCATTTAGTTGAGGTGGAACATGCCGTATTAAATATCACAAGCGTTTATTGGGGGGGTCGGGGGACAAATGTTCCTGGATTTTGTTGATCACCATTACCCACGAATTCACATCCCCTCAAAAACGTACTTTCTCAAACTAACTATTCATGCACTTACAAGTTGTAACTTACGAAATTAAGTATGTATGTGAACCATTTAAATCACCCCTTTATGAATTACAATGCATATATGTATGTTATATTTGTAGTTTGTTATATCTATCGCTTTTTTTCTTATTTCCTTTATCCAATATTGTTGAAATATAGAATAATCCTAGTTCTGAAGCGATGACTGAGATCATTAAAAAAATCTGAACAACTCTTTTGATATAAGAATAGAACGTACTAAGTTGCTGGATCAAAAACTTTTTATTGCCAAAGTGAAACTGCTCATTTCAGTCAAAATTAATACAGTATATCCTTGCTGAAAGATTGAGTTCACTGGGCTAAAGAAGCATATAAATAATTTTCAAAGATTTTAAGGCTGTTTTTCATCAAGGCAAATTGATAGAGAAAGTAAATATTTGAATTTTCGTTTTGAAATCTCAGAAGAAAAAAAATATTGTGGGCATAGTGTTTAAAATCTGGAAAAAAAATTGAACGCAAAGACGAAGAAATCATTTAAAATGTTTTCAATCTTTTGTTGGCTCAAGTGGCTTGTATGTCCCTTAAATAGTTTTGTCCTGTCCGTCCGTCTGGCTTTTTTTCCCCCTCAAAAACTTCAGTATTGCTCGTTACTTTTGATTGAACAAAGCTATGGCTTTCATAATTCATCTGTGTATTCCAAATGACAAGTCCTCAAATATTTGACTTTAGGACCTTGACCTCAGAGTTTGACACATTTCTGCAAGAATTTATTCAGCTTTAGCTTTGCCCATAAATTTATTTGAATACTAGTAGTTGAGGCGAGTTCTTTCAAACTTCACACATGTATTCGATACTTTTCATTATGACAATGCCTTTCCATAGATAGAAATATATTTGTCATTTTAATCTTGACCTTTGAATATGACCCATTTTTAATTACTAATTAAAAAAAAAAATTCGGACATCACGTTTGAACAGTTTGTATTAGGGCCTTTATATTCCACTAATGTATTCCTTTTGACAAGGCCTTTCTTTGTACAACAACAATTTTGACTTTGACCTTTGAGTTTGACCTACTTTTGAAAAATAAAAATATCAAATTAAGTCATACTCAGTTTCTTTTTAACAGTTGGTACTAGTGCTTAAAATTATAAATTTGTTTTTCTTATGGTAAGGCCTCCCTCTCCCCGGGGACTCTTTAATTGACCTTTTGACTTTGATCTTAGGATTTGACCCACATTAACTTTGGGCGTGGTTAGTGTTTTGGCTTTCTTATTTCATAGGTATATGCATTGTGATATTAATTGAGACGAGTCCTATCTTTGGGTAGCAACATTTTTTATCTTTCGACCTTGGAGTTTGACTTGCATTTGAGAAACTTCAACCTTCGTCAAAACCTGCCATACGGGACCATCAGTGTTTCACAAAGACACAAACACGTAATGAAAACGTATTTTGAAAAGTAAACAACTGTTTTTGCCCCCCCCCCCCCCCCCCCCCCCCCCCCATGGTGCCAAAATTGGCAATCAAAGTTTAAAATAGAAAAAAAATCCCAAAAGGGTGGGGCTTTGCCTTGTTTTTAAGTCAAATGCATGACAAGTAAAGAGCTATTAAACTTCATCGAAAATTTTATGAATGACATTTTATAGAAAATCCGAAATCAAACTGGCTATAAAATTTCTTTTGCACCAGAATATCTGATCTGTTACTTGTTCAGTGTTATGAATGTCTGATAAGTATAAAAACATTGATAGATAAATATATGATATATAAACTGCTAGATGTGCGAGAAAAAATACCCTACACCTTTGATTTTATGAAATAAACACATTCTTCATTCAAAGTTCTTTAATATTTTTTCCTTTACTTCGGAGCATATCGTTATCGTGTTGATGTGTACGTACGTTTATTACGAAAAGTTCGCGAGGCAACAGACAGATTTCATATCAGAGATTCAACGTATTCATCAAAACAGACAAAAAAGTGAATACTCCTTCTCAAATGTAAAATTGCTGAAAAATATATTTATTTACAAAAACATTCCTTAAGCCATTTAGTAAACTTTTGCCTATATCAAAAGCCCCCCAGGTCTCGATTTATTGAGACGGAAAAAAAACAGAATTTTTACAATATTTTCGCAGCATAGTTAAAGTAAACGCATTAACCTCTAACAAGTTCGAAGAAAATAATGGTGTATATCATAAATCTCAGAAAAAAAAATTGTTGTTTTAAAATTATCTTTTATCTTAATTTTTTGGAAATTCTAATAATTTCACAAACAGTTTTCTAATCTTATTAAACGCAAATTTACAAAAGGGGTGCACGAACTCAGAATTATGATAAATTGCGCTCAAATTTCTACCATTAAAAAATATATAAATCTATATATAACCCCTCCCTACTGCAGATATACATTATACTAAGTATTTTATGAATGGCGAAAAAGATATAGTTCAAGCATTATTTTACATCTTTGTAGACAATACTTGTTTCATGAAATCTTCATTGACATAACATATATTTTATATATACATTTTCATTATTTCACAATCTAACAGAGCGCTGTGTGCTTGCCCTTAAGATAAAATCTAAAGTGTAACTTTCAAAAAATCTCCACTGGGCAATTTATTGTTCAAGAACCCCCCATCGTTTTGCATGTTAACATATTTTATTCGACGTATCGATTTATCAAGGCACACGATGTGTTACAACGCACTCAGATATACAACTTTATTAGCCCTTTATCGTAAGAATTTACCAGTTTACCAATTTATCATATGTTAGAGCCTGTTTATCTAAGAAATAAACTCTCAATACAATAGAAATATACAGAAAAGAGCTAGAAATGTATCACCTGATGTTCTTCCAGAATTTATCGCACTACAGCGACTAGAAAATGAAATACGAATTACCTGTTTATACGTATAACGGGCTTGATATAATATTTTTCCGGGGGGGGGGGGGCTCAAAATCTCGAGCAAAAAATATTTTTTCAATATGATTTCTGCCGGAGACATTGGTCATGTATGTATACTTGTATAAGTTTTTGATCAAAATAAAATATCTTTACCTTAAAAAAAATTCTTCAAACCCTAAAATAAAAACCAGAATCAGGATGACGAACCCATACAAAGAAAGAAAAAAATAGGGGAAAATGTACCCCCTTTTTATGCGATCATTCGCCTAACGTGACGTCATCACCACTGGTATCAATTTTAATTATTTCAAATGATAAACGTTTATTACAATGTAGATATATAGATAAGAAGCATCAAAGTTTAGGGTCATTGGCCTCAGAACCATATTCATCTGCGTTTTATGTAAAGATTTATGATTTATGAAACTTGCTCACATAACTTTATGAGGCAGCTATAAACAAATATCCCCGTCAGTTCGTTTTTGAAGTGGGTCATGATGTCATGTGATGTAAGAGGTCATAGCAGGAATGATTCATAAGCAGATCGCTGGCCCAAAAGTCTAAACGTCTGTGACGTATAATTTACTCTAACTTCCTTACCCTTACGAGGGGTGATCAAAAAGTTCGTGATCTATCTCTATATCTACAAAACCACCATTCAGATTAGAATGAAATTGGATACACACATAGCCATACACAATGTCTATAAATAGCATAATTATGCTTAATAAAGTTTTTCTCCTTGTTTGTGACGTCACAATGAGAAAATGACGTCACTATGTAGGTCACTTGTGACGAAAAATGGTTGTCTCAGTCGAACTCGTTCAACAAACGACTGTGCAATTTATTGTATATCTTAGAAATCCCTTTGTAGAATCATAAAATAATTTGTACACAGTTTGTTAAGATAAATGAGTTCCTATAAATTCAATTAATGATTGGATTGATTATTTTAGTGAAGGACGGCAGATGGTTAAAAATGATACTTATCATCTTGCCCAGTGAAAGCAAGTTTGAAAAGATATTTAAGCAATTTGCTATCAAAGACCTCCAATTTACAATTTGAAATATAGTTGAATATTTGAACAATAACGTAATTATTAAATACCTAAGATATCGTTTACTTTAGATTTTGAACATATTAGATATGATAAAAAGGAGGCACCCATTCTCTATCCACCTTGAATAAAGGTCTCTACCGAGACAGAAGATTTGTGTTTTAATGGTCGCCATGCATATTTTTGGAAAGGATATTCTAATCCACTCATTCTATTGCCAAGATTTGACCATTTCTGACAAATGAACTGTTCTTGTCATAAAAATTAACTCACATGGAAAGAAATATAAACTCAGAAAAATCTTTCAACTTTTGTGACAGAACGCTACGGAGGGGGGTCACGTGACCGCCAATATCACGTGATTCGCGCATGCGCAGAACGGTGGTTGATGTGCATTAAAATCGGAGAGAACTAGTTTAAAATATAATCAACATTAAAACCAAATATTATTTCTTTTATGGAAGTTATTCAATTAGTTCGCGAACTTTTTGAATACCCCTCGTATAGGTTATCAGTGTTAACTTTTTAAAAAGCTTGAAAATAAATAATATGGTGCTTATACGCTTCCGTACTGGAAAACTAAGCTCGGGCATTTTCTCTGGAGTTCAGGCAGTGTAGGATTTAACATCTTCTTTAATACCTAATTTTGCGGCTACTCGTAATTCTTTAACTGTCTGTCTGTTAAATTTATCGCCCCCTGGGTTTGATTAATTCCTAATCACTCGGCGTCAGAGAGGATTCAACTAGACAAGGGTTAAAACCAACTTCCTTAAATCCAAGGTAATCTTGATAATGTGTTCACAATTAATGAACAAATACACCGTCTAATTAGCTTGTAAAATTTGTAAAGTGCAGAGGAAATCGCCCGAATCCTCTCTGCTCAGAACAATAACTACAGAGGAATTCCGATCTGTATTGGTTTAGGAGCCCGTTCGTGAGTTTTCCCAGCTGTATGTCAAATGTTATCTGATTGTGTTGGTTTTATCGCTACAGAAACATCTTCATCAGATAAAATTATCCCTAAAAAAGGTCGGGGTCAAAATTAATTAAAACTAGTAACCGCTGATTCTTTTTATTTTTTTTGGGGGGGGGGGGGGGGTAAAACTGCTATAATTCGTGTACCGAAGAAAGATTTCTATATGTATACTAGTATATAGATAAAATGGGAATGAGAAATTACCTTTGAGGATCTTTTGAGGAAGAGGAGCTGATAGGAATTAGCTAATTCTTTTCAGCACCTCTTCCTCAAAAGAGTTGAGAGAGAGAGAGAGAGAAAGTTTATTCACCGTCGGAGGGAGAGATGTTCACTTTAAAAAGCAATCGATGTTTTTTTTGATAACCTAGAAAACAATTTTAAACCTTAAAATTTCTTTTGAGACTGCATTTTTCCAATTAACCCATAAATTTAAACTTATAAATCCCTTAATTCCAGTGATGAGTCTTGTCACGTAACACCAGATTCTGTAAGTGTATTTTCACTCTGATAAGATTTTCTTCATTTTTTAATCGTCATTGATTTTAACATTTTATCACTGCAGCAAAACTGAATCGAGGCCAAGGTTAAATCAAAGTGATATCGTAAACTCCAGGTTGTGACGTACGCTTATTGGCAAATCAGTGTTTTAATGTTTGGATAAAAAATTCTATTACAAGCTTAAAAATCAAGCTTAAGAGCTTTTATTAATATTGAGCGCTTTGTTTTGGGAGCATTCCAGAAATATTATAACAAATATTTTCAAAAAAAGAAACAGTTAATTAGCGAAATCTCAAGTAATGATATTAAAAACTGCTGCGTTGTGTTTTATTTTAGCTTTATAGTTCTAAAAATCTGGAATTCCAGTAGAGCATCTTTCTCATTTTCATTGTGTTGATAATCAGATACATTTTGTTAAATATTGTTTATGATTACATGGTATCTCTGTTGTTAACGCCATTATCAATGAAATTAATATATAAGGCAAAACTATATACAAAAAAAAAAAAATAATAAATAAAACCCCTAAATAACACCTCCCGTTTGAATGTTGATGAAAGTAATATTTGACGTTGTCAACAGGAGCTCATCAATTTTCATTTTCCCCCAATTGGTGCTGATCCAGGAATCTTAATAATGGGGGAGGGGGATCATTTGGGCCCGGGTTTAGGGGGTGGAGCGAATCCTCGAAAGCTCTCGGACCTAAGTAATTTTTGAGAATCAGCTGATTTTCTTACGTTTACTTCTCTTGCCAAAAGAATTGATAAAAAAATGTCTTTAAATTTTTGGTTACTGGGGTGGGGATTCCTTTCCTAAATCCGACAGTGCTGTCGTTTACTGATTTTTATTTTAAAATTAAAATAAGTAAACGACTATATAGTCGTGTACTTATTTTAATTTTCAAATAAAAATCAGTAAACGACAGTGCTCAAAATCCCGGTACCTCCTGTTTATGAGGGTTTGAAGTACTGTGTAATCACATATTAACGCACTTACCTAAAGTCGGACTATATTCTCCAATGAAACGTTTCGTCAGGTATCGCACTGTCAAAGCTGAAAAAAGTTGAAACTTATGTTATAAAACTAATTCTCTCTCTCTCTGCACATTTAAATTAATCATATGGAAATAAAATAAACTATTGTTACAAAAAGATTTAAAACTTTTTTTAAATAAAGTTTAACTCACCTGTTTTTCCGACCCCCGGGCATCCCAGGACAACGATTTTACACATGCTGTTGTCACTGATTGATTGACCTCGACCCCTGGCCCCGTTTGACCCCGCTCCTCTGTAGTTCATCACAACAACATTCACGCCGTGCACTGTCATTTAGATCCGCCTCTTTATTTCCCAAATTTCACAACTTTTAAGCCAAAGAGATCGCAAGTTCTTTTTATCTTTGTAAAGAATAATTTATATAGCATAAAGTTTGGGCGACACTTTTAATCCATCGATATTTGATGAAACTCCTTATGAATATGTCAAAACTGAATTATTTCGTAGAATATCCATAGGAAAAAAATCAAAACGTCTCGTTGAATATTTCTTGCCGACTTTTCTGAGTTTGCGGTTTGCCCTCACACAATATGTAGTATTTTAAAAGCAGTTGCCGTGTGCCTTTTGTATACCATGGAGATCCAAACTATATGCCTCATACGTCACTGAGAAACAAACCGTTTTTCTCAACTGTCAAAAGCAGTTTTGTCTTCTGAGACTTCTCTGAATTTCCTCCTCGGCTCTTCAAATTTAATAAAATTCTGAAATTTAAAAAGGGTATATATGCATATTTTAATTTACTTCTGACGAAATCATGTACGCAGATCCACACCTTTTGTTTCGTTAAAAAAAATTAATAATTGTGTAATTCGCTGTGGGATTTCAAATTATTAAACATAAATATTTTTGAAAAACAGCTCAATAAACAAAAAAATTATAAACTTCCATAATCCTTCGTAAATGATTAATGCATAAAGAAACGCATTTTTTTTTTCTTTATCTCGAGGTATCAAAAAAAAAAAAATAAACAATATTCACCATGCAGTACCTTCTGACCCTAAGGATCCGTGAAACAGACTGATTATATAGAGTGGAAATTACCAAACTTCTGTTACCATTTCAAATTAACCCTGGCCCGTGTGCACCCTAGCCGTTAACTACCGGTTTCTGAGGAGAGATCAAATGTTTATAAGATAATTCTCAGCCTTTAACAAAACCCCCGCTGGTTTCTGCCTCCTACATCATTCTCACCAAAACCGACAAATTCTAAAGACGTTCTTTATTTCGCCATTAAACAGTTAAAGAATGTTTACATTTTGAAATTAGTTTTGTAAATCTAAATTCGCATATCCAATTTAACTTTAAAAGAGAAGTAATTTATCGCTAGGAATCTATACAATATATTTAGTGTCTAACTTATGTATGTGTTTATAAAGGAAAAGTGATTGATGAACAGTTCTGATCTACAAACAAAGAATTGGATATCTACAGAACTTAAAAACAGGAAATTTCGTAACACGGGCACTTAACTCAGTAACTGCAATCGCTGATTAAAAATTTATCCTTAAATCAACACTTATTAAAAGGTAATGAGTAATGAGTCCCTAAAAATGCCATTTTAACACAAGACTGGGGTCTACACATAAAAATATATATATGTAAGAATTGTAAATTTCCAATTTTTCAAAAAATTAAAATTCTACTCACGGGGCATGATAGGCCGCGCTCTATACATCGTCATGTAAGTTTCCCTCATTCATAAATCTCTTTATCCCTCTCCGCTAACTGATAAGAGCATTTTTTTTTTAATGTTTTCCCTCAACGGAATTTGAAGTGAAATCTTTTTAAAACCAGGTTCTAAAATATTTTATCTTTAGAACCTCTGTAACGATTGCCCCTCAGCGCGGGGTTAATTCCTTTGGCTCGTTTTATCATTTTTCGGTCGCTATTTTAGAGTTTTACTTACTTTAAAGATAATTGTTTATTGAATGGCCCCGGATTTCCGATAAGTCTGTGGTGTAAATGATCAATCCGTCAACTGAGTTACCAGAGACCTTTAATGACCGGCTTTCTTTGAAGTGTGTATCTATATGTTAAATCAATCAGCAGGGATTCTTAGCCCGAGGTTATCTTTAACACTCCCCATTCCTTTTCTTAGTTTTCTTAGTTACATGTACAAAACCCCCTTTTTTCGTAATCAAAGTGTATAAATTAACCTTTAATGAATGGATTCTCCCCCTTTTTTTGCTTACTTTTTTCATGTAAGTTGAAAGCTGAAGAGCTACGTACCTGCGTTCAAATATAAATTAACCCCTGGGCTTTCTGTTACCTTTTATTTCGTTTTTGGATTCTGGAGACATTTTAGGGGTTTATTCTAGGCCTATTTTGAAACCGGAGGAACCCAGGGTCGTGAGTCCGGCGCCCTGAATTTAAGAGGGTACAAACATATTTCTTGACAGGGTGTTGTGGTGCATTTTATATATTTGGTTGATATTGTACAGATTCAACTTTAACTGTTACTTCAGAAAATTCTCTGCGAATCACACACATGACATTAACCAGACTGATCGTTATAGATACATATTCATTTGCACTTTGAAAAACTTGATGCTCTCGGGGGATTTCAAGTACACGTACTAGTACGAAGTATCCGACGTTTTCCTGACGTGCCATGAAAATATCAAAATCGTTAAAAAAGCCTGGAAAACATCAGATATATATATTTCGGACTAGTACAAGTACATGCATTTAAAGAGATTTTCTTTTTCCTTGTTCGTCGTTCATTGAAAAGATACAGGATGAGGAAAGCACAGAATTAGAATTTTACTTTTGGAGTCTTTGACTCTTTGACGTAGTAGGGGGTGGGGTGGGGGTTGTTGTCGACACTTTTTTGACTGGCATTAATATTACCTGACTCGCAATATAACCCAGCCTGATTTACCGCTTCCAAGATTATGACATTATGAACGTGCTAAGACTCAGGAGTTTGATTAATATTAATCTATAATTATCTGTTGAAATAAGTACTATTACTGATATTAATATTTCAATAAACGGAGAGTGCTTTTGACTAACTTCTTTAATTATCTATGCAACCGTGAAATGTAGAAGATCAAATGTAACAGACGGCTGTTTGCCTTCCTAACCTCGACTCATCAAGTGAACGATACAAGTGCACACGTACAATTCACAAGGATTATCTCCCCTGGGTCTCTAAGCCCTCATTATATTTATATATCATCATTAGTGAGTTCCATTTCGTGTGAATGACCTCAACATTCACCTGTGCACTCTTTGTGTATCATCCATCCGCAGAACAAAGAAGTTCGAATGAGTTCTTCGTTTGAAGAAGGTGATAAATCGTAATATTCCTAACTACGTGTAAACACATCTGGTACATGTGGCAAAATTAATTAAACTTAGCAAGAAGCGGATCTTACAATTTAAAATTGATACATCCCAAAGAATAAAAAAAAAAAAATAGGAAAATAGATTTAATAAAACAAGAGTATATTTCAACAATTATAAACAAATAAATATCTAAGAATATATAAGAATTAATGAATGGTTCTTAATTTGTCAGCAGTTGGTGCACTTTTTTCCATGTTTCAGGAAAGTCCTCGGGAAGGGAATAGGAAATATGGATGAGTCGCCATTTCCGCTTCCGGTTGGAATGTCGGATCCCGACCAGTGGCGTTTCTGTGGCATTTTATATCGCCTCCTAGGGACGTCCAACAGGTGCGACGAATACATCTGGTTCACTTCCGTTATTTCCTCCGACACACGTTTCACTTTTGTAGGCAAGAAACAGGGATCTTCATAAGCCCACGGAAGTTTATATGCCTGTAGTTTTGTTGAGAATTCCCTTTTAATGTCTTTGGTTAGTTTTCTGTCGGCCCTGTCGTTTACGGAGGTGGACAGTTTCGCTCTTTTTATTGGAGTTGCGTCATCTTCGCTGTCCATGAGAGGGAATCCAGTGTCAGAAATCACACGCTTCGCTCTCCGTCTAATCTCCATATATTTCTCTTTGATTTCATTGTCCTGCAATTAAAAATGTTCATAAAAAAATATATTATTTATTTACAGAGGCGGATCCAGGTATCTTAAAAGGGGGAATTGAGGTCGGGTTCCATAGCCACACCAATAATGACATTATATTAAATTTTACGTATGCTGGGTACAAAAGAGGGTCTCCCCCCTAAACCCGCCAGTGAATTGAGCAATATTAAACATTGTCCCCCTAGAGAATATATTAAAATATTTCAACTGAATAAGACGCCATTGACTCATTTGTTATGTATACCAACACATCGACGGGTGAAGGGAGAAAACCGCCACAGTTTTTAAGACTTGTGCAGAATTGTGATGGATTAAATATTGTAATATTCCTATGTGTAAAAATTAAACATTTCTAAAAATTCTCAGTGAAATTAACTTATTTTATCTTAATGTTCAGTATGTTAACTCACTAATAAATAAATACTTAACGTGTCACACACACATGCACATAATATTAATAAATAAACTAAGATTTTTTTTTATTAGATTTCTAAAGATAGAAAAAATAGACTAAGCCCCCCTCTCTTTTCATCTATTTCAAAGGCAGAATTTCAGTTTAAATACTGACCTTCTTTCTGAGTGACTCCGTCTTCCTCTTCAGTCGGTGTAACTGGCTGCTCCACACCTTCATCTGAATCGTCTCCGATCGCTTCGGGGGACTCCTCCTTCGGGGGGTCACTTCCGGTTGGATCAGGCCGGACTTCCTCTTCGTCGGGCTCAACTTTTTCCTCGGAGTCGGAGAGTTTCTCCACAAAACCACGGCAGATTTTCGTGGACTTTGTTGATATATTTCACAATATGAAGAAGAAATGGTGGTGTTGTTCCTCTCTTTACGACTCTCCATGTTTCTGGTCTGTGGACTCGTAGACATGTGTGTCATGGTCTGTCGTAAGTAATGAAGAGGGAGCTGTCGCTGTGACACGCTGAATTTTAGCATTTTACTGGCAGATTTCTCCAAACAGAAGTGACAATGTCTAAGGGTATTTATATAGACTGCTAAGAAAAATCACAAGCCTAATCTCGTATCATTGTTGTTAAAAGTTAATTGGTCGGCATGGCGTAATTAATTAATTGAAGAATAATTAACCTCTCGTGTGAAGTCCTAAATAATTAATACTGAGTACTCAACAGATTATTTGGTTAATTATTGCTCCCAAAAGCCAAGCCGACTTTAAATAATTAGAAGGCGTCGTTAAAGCCACGATTGAAGTTAATTTCGTACGTAAGAACCTTAAATCACATAGGGTGCGATTTGAAGTTGTAAAATGATAATATTCACTGTTTATGCCTTAAATATTTTACTATATCTTCTCAATAACTCAATAATAAATCTGGATTTTTTTCCTTCAAAAATCTATACATGTATCTATACATTTCTTAAAACCTGGTTATCATTATGAAACATTGCTTTCTTAATGCATTCTTTCTGATTAAAATTGTGTCAATTTTCCTCTTTTTTTTTTAAAAAACAATGACATCACAGCTGTATATGTAATTACATGTATTATGTCTAATGTGGTAATACATGTATTTTTACATTTAATGTTAAAGTTACATATATTTATACGACATTATTGCATTTCATTTTCATATTTATTTTATACCCCTTTCAACATTTTTAATTTACGACATGTATATTTTCCGGAATTGCAAGGTAACTTTCAGACAACTAATTGTACTAAGAAAGTACAGTTGTACAATGCATGTGGAAATAGCCTAAGGATAGAAAAAAAAATAAACCACATTTCAAAATGCATGATCAAATAAAATGTCGGAAGTAAAAAAAAAATGAAATCAAATGCAACAATATGACTTATAAGTGAGGAAAATCTTAACCTAAAAATTTCTGTATCATTAATTGGTACACAAAAATAATTCTTGGGATAAAGCATTTTCAGGAATAAAAATAAAAACAATTTATAAATAATGAAAAAATTAAGATACATTTTGGCTAATTCGATTCTTAAAAGCAGAGTTAAGGTGAAACAATTTGATCAAATATAAACTCATGTCTTGACTGATATACTGTTTAAAATTAAAAAAAAAGAAAAAAAATTCCAAACAAATTTGAGTACCCTCTCTACACTGCACACCAAAGTGTTCTGATCCTAAGGTATTTTTCTGGAGTTAGAGTGATCTGCCCTCATATCTAAATAATAAAAAATAGAAATTTACACGATGTAACTCGTGATCAATTTGTAATCAATTCAAGTATTCTCAATATTTTGAAAGACCAAAATAAATTATCTGAACGTGTTATTTACATGTATTTTATCTATTGAAGTAATTAACAGTGATTTCTATTCATTGATACTGTGTTGTCTTTGAACATTTTTCTCGGAGGTAAATGTCACGCATCATGCATTGAAAATAAATTTAAATTAAGCTCAATATTAACTCCTTTATATAATATATTTTTCCCAATGTCCAAAAAAAAAAAAAATTATAATATGTAACACTAATAAAACGGAAAAGTCACGGATAAAACTTTAAATTGCTATCATTATGCATTCTATAGACTTGAATGAGACTTGTACTACAGGAGGCATTACACCACGACGTCACAACGTGGCGTCTATAATTAATAAATATGCCTTAATGAAAAACTGAAAAGTGATTCATTTTTACGACCTCAAAAACATTCCTTAAATATTTACATTCGCTGTGTTTTTCTAATAAGCCAACAGTGAAATTGATTTGAATACCATTTTCGTGTATACTCACGCGTAGAAATATATATATACGGAGAAACGTGCGCTAACGTGACGTCACAATGAGGCTAGAGCGACGTTAGAAAAATTCATAGGCGCTTGGGTCAAGGATACTGTATTTTTTCTATATAATGTATTGTCGAGGAAATTCGAACTATACTCGTAACATTTTTTTTCAGTGCACAGTATTAATTTATAGTTTTGTGTTAACCTTTCTGCTTCATATACACGAGAACTTCACAGAAATTCGATTTTATGCACGCTTTAAAAATGACACATCCCACTGTATACTAAGAGTTTCTTTTTAGTATACAGTGGGATGTGTCATTTTTAAAGAGTGCATAAAATCGAATTTCTGTGAAGTTCTCGTGTATATGAAGCAGAAAGGTTAACACAAAACTATAAATTAATACTGTGCACTGAAAAAAAATGTTACGAGTATAGTTCGAATTTCCTCGACAATACATTATATAGAAAAAATACAGTATCCTTGACCCAAGCGCCTATGGAAAAATTGCAAAGATATAGGGCAGCGAGAAATTCAAACACTGAATATACTTTTCATGCTTTCAAACATTTAAAATGTAAATATAAGGAATGTTTTTAAGTTTTGTGTGATTCATTGGTGTGTAAATTACACGAGACTTGCACGTAGGCATATTTTTCATGAAGCGCTAGCGCGCTTCATGAAATATGCCGACGTGATAAGTCTGTGTGATTTACACACCAATGAATCACACAAAACTTAAAAACATTCCTTAAATAGATCTTATATAGATATATCGATTTTAAGAAATTGTCATCCGTAAAGTTCACGTCATATAGCTTACTATGACGTCATATATATATAGGCAAGTAGAATATTTGGTTGTAACCTGCGAATTATGTAAATTTGAAATTCCAATACTTTTTTGAAAATCATGTTTACAGGTTTTATACATTAACATCTATTAATTTAAAGAATAGATGCCTTTATTTTATGAGGAAAACTTTGTTGCTGCTATTTGAGTTAGGTTAGCTATAAATTAGATCGGGTTCGGGATATCTCAAATTCCCCCTTTTTGCCCTGAATCCTAAGAACGAAAGCTTAAGGTATACGAATTTTGTAGCAGACAAAATTTTCAAAAAATATGCTTTCAATCACGATTGCTTCTTAAATAATTTCATAAAATAGTATAGACAAATATCGGATATGATGATTAGATGCATGGATGGATCATTCTTTTTTGAAAAAATGCGAGATTGGCTAGGATTGAAATTTTCTTTGTCAGCATACATGTGGCATAAGTTGTGTTAAAACTTGTTAACCCTTTAGTTTACGAGCAAATATATATCAGATTGAGGAATATTTTGTAATTATGCATTAAATATATTTATATATAAATTGGGCATTATCAATGAGAAATTGGGGGGGGGGGGCGGGGGGGTATAATACAGTAATATGATCAAAACATTATAATCAGGGTATATCATTTTTCGAAACATTTATTCAATTGAACATTCTCAAGTGATGCAATACGTAATATCGCGAATACCAATGGTGCTCTAACTTACTACCGCTCTTTGTGGGGGAGTCGAGAAAGTTCTAAATTTCTGGGGGCACATGACATTGTTTATAGAAGTGACAATCGAATTATTCGAACAATTTAATGAAGAAAGCACTATGTTTTGCCAGATATTGAACTCCAAATAGTAGATTGTCAAATAAGGAAAGTTTAGAATATTTAATCTGCTTTAAATTGTGACAATTTTCGATGAAAATTTAATGAGAAGAGTCGGCTTAGATAAAAAAATCGTTAAAAATGTAATACTTTAGGATTGGCTCCTCTCAAAACATTATTAGGCTAGTTAAGCAATTGTTTAGCAAGGTATTCCGCCAGGATTTTTTACTTATCTGTCCTTATAAATTCTGCAATAATCGATCTTGCATTGCATTCAATAGCACTTTGCCACCACCCAAAAGACATTTCCTACCTCCATCGCGAAAGAGTTCCGCTAAGTTAAGTAATCGTGATATAAAGTATTGGGGGATCTTTTAAATGCACTTTGCAATAGGAAAACAAAAATCAAACAAACTAAAAAACCCAAAAGGAAAGTTATACCTTTTCCAGATCTGAGGATTAACAGTGAAACTTCAAATATTGTAAGGGTAATGTTCAGAATAAATCAGGCTATAAGTTATTATCATGCAATAGGAACTTAATTCATATTTGGCTTAATTTATGCCCCCTATATCATGTATATTAAACAACACAATCAACCAAGAAAAGCCAATGCTTTATTCAAACTGATGTACTCTTGAAATTAAATTCAGAGATTCTCAAGTGTGAAATATTGCCCCATGGTTCCTTTGGCAATTACATAAATTTTATCAAATTCATTGGCAATCAAAGATTCGCTCACTTACCCATTAGAGCCATGCTAATTATTTTTACTTGTGTAACGAGTCATACAATAAATTTGACAATACAATCTGACTCAAAGATATTTGCTTCTGCATTTTAGGGATGGGGATTTTGATTGATGTACCTCTTGCTCATGCATTTTGCACTTCTAAGGCTATATAACCATTAGAAATAAAGGAATTGATAATTCTATTTACCTGTGGTTTGGGTAAATAAGGGTTAAACTGGTAAATTAAGGAAAATGACAAATTAATGCTCAATGCAAGTTAAAGAACATAATCTGCTGTATGCTATAACCAGTTGCTTAAATTCGAAATTCTCTTCTTTTCGCTTTGGTAAGTATTTAAAGTTATTAGCTCTAGGTGTGCTGTGACTCAGAAAAATGGTAACTGATCATGAATCATGTAATATTAATTATTCATTTTCAACTACTGACAAGGTCAATTTAATAAGGTTTTAAAGAAAAAGTTATACTTTACAATTCACAAAATATAATGGAAAAAATATTCCAGCTGTTTACTTGTGTTTACCGAAAATTTTCTCTGCTTTAAGCTTTAGGCATACCTGAATTTTATGTTCATCGGTGGATTACATTGTTTTAAGCTAGTAGTTTTACTAAAATTAATTGATATTCATAAAAGCTATTCTTGATAAATTTATTTTATTGGTTAGAGAATAGAGTTCATGGAATATTTACATCAGATGAGAATTCAAAACCACCAGGGTTAAAAATATTACTGAAATTAACTTTGGTCATTCAAATTCATAACTCATAGATAGGGGAGAGACATGCCATTCATTCATTTCAATGGATAAGGATTTCAGTAGAAAGAGTGCATTATACACGTACTAGAATGAGTTGTATATGAGGCTATTGATCATGACTAGGAGTATAACAAAATTTTGATTAATTCAGTAAGATTTATTATTTGCAAGATACAGTGTACTAAGGTTATCAAGTCAAGTACATACAAATTTAAACTGATCGTACATGTAGTCGGCTTATTTAAATGACTAAAACATATATCTTTGTTCAGCAGTCAATTATTGATAAACATGAGGCAAATGATTTCATTACTACATTAG